CTTACTACTAGTAACAAGAAGCGTAACTAGGGGCTCCTGGCCTTACTTTTTTGAACTTCGACAGGATTCCTTTCAGTGGCCCAGGAGTCTTAGGGTTGTCCTGCCCAGCTTTAGTGTATGGGAGTTGAATAGGTTCAAATCACAGCCAATCGATACATACCCAAAACCAAGTGGTTGGCGAACAACATAGTTTGTAGAAAGAGCAGCTCTCAAGCCTGAAATTCAGTAGGGCAAGCGGGGCAAGCGGAGTGTCACCGAGTGAAGTTCCGGGGGAGGGTGAATGAAGATCTACATTCCAAAAAATTGACCACGTCTACAGCTCGCAAGTCCCATGTGTTTGTTTGTGGGCACGTCAGCCGTTTTTCAGGTGCCAATGCTTCCAGATGGGCAGAGGCTATTGCACTGCTCTGCGAGGCTCTGGAAGGGCTTGGAATGCCGGAGCCGCAGCACGCTGTTGGGCTGCTGCCAATTGGTCGGATTGGTCCAAATGTGTTTTTGTGATCCATTCTGAGGCAGGTTTGATATATACATCTGTATACATGCATGCATATATATATATATAATATAGATCTATTGTTGTATACATGTTTTTTTCAAATGCAATGAGTTGGCATGACCACATGATGGTGTACCTTGAACCCTAACGAACGACACCATTCTGCCAGTTCCCAGACAGGTGAAATCCGCCGCTTGGGAACCGGTTCACAAGCACCGTTTGCTGATGTTGTTTTGAGTGTGAACCGAAGGCCCGCGCCATGTATATATTTGCATATATATGGTGAAATGCCCCCCATGAGTAAACTCAGTACAGGTTTCATTTCCACCGTAGCATCGGGGCTCAAAGTGAATGGGAGGGAACGCCCCTGTCAGCCGTGTGTTGCCTCCGCCCAAGGTGCCCCCTCGACTCACTCCCGCCAAGACAAAGGGGAGTGTTGCTTTGGTAGAGAACTCCCAATCCCAAGCACCCAAGCCATCCAAGAGAGACCCCAAAGAGAGCTCCGAAGGAGCCCCCAAGTTGAAGCTGGCCAGCAAGTCGAAGGCCGGCCCATCTTGCAAAGAGCCAGCACCGGAGACAAAGGTCGAGGAGGCCCAATCCGCAGAGGTTAGTAAGGCCGCGACCGAGGCCACAAGGGAGTCCAGCAGTCCAACTCCCAGTGCAAAAGAGGAGGAGAAGAGGCGAAGGAGGCGACGAGAGAAAGAGAAGGAAAAGGAGAAGCGCCGGAAGAGGCCCCGATCATCCAGCCGGAGCAGTTCGGTGACCGGGCCGAGAGTGAGGGAGTCAAAGAAGAAAGAAAGGAAGGCCCGACCTTTGACCCCGCCGAGACCCAAGAGCCCGCACACGCCACCAGGGCCGCCTCCGCCGCCAGCACCTCCACCAGCTCCCCCAGCCGCTCCCCAGAGAGGCTGGGTGGGTCCCATCCCGTGGTCCAACCACCCGAGGTGGTACGTGGGAAAGAATAAAGGTGTGACGCGGCGTGCAAAGCAAGAGTTGCACGATCGGCAATGGCGTCGCGGTTGAAGGCCCGACCGGCCAGTCGGGCTCCAGCTGCAAAGAAAAAGCCAGCGGCCCAGAAAGATGACCTCCCGGTGACCACTTTCACTACCTGCGTGAGTTGGCAGCTGCGCAACTTCGGTGTCTCGGCTTGATCGAACTCGGTGATGCCCACTTTTATGAAGGGCACGTGAAGGTTGCGGGCCATATCTTGGGACTTGGAAAGGAGGAGGACTTCCTTGAGTTCCGTGTATCAGGCACGCAAACCGAGAGACTCGTTGAGCTGCTGTCGGATCCGGCGAAGAGGACAATGCAACTCCACATATGCCCGCGTGACTGTGGCAGCCAACTGGGGAGAATGTGCTCCATGCCTCTGGATACTGGATCGTTGGAGAGCAGAAGTTGCCCTGGCACACGCTGTTGGAGGACAAGCCCGCGAAGGCCGAGGAGCATGACGAGCTGGCACGCTTGAGAGCGTTGCATGAGGACCGGCAGAAGGGAGGCCTAGGGGAGAGGGACTCTCCCAGTCAAGACAGTGATGCAAAGAAGAAAGAGAAGAAGAAGAAAAAGAAGAAAAAGGACAAGGAGAGAAAATCAGGCAAAGGGTGAGGCGAGAAGAAGGAGCCAGTTGGAGAAGAAGAAGATGACCTGTTGGAGCGAGGACAGAAGACCCTGACCGCTTGTTCGAGGGGACTGGTCTTGATCCCAATGCAGAGGCCCGTGTGAAATTTCTGAGGCGGGCCAAGCGCTTCGGAGGGAAGGAGTCCAAGAAGAGAAGGCGCTCATCAAGTGAAGATGGCAGCAGTTCAAGCACGACCAGTGAGTCAGATCTGGAAGAGTTCGGGGAAGGGCTTTTTGAGGAGCGCAAGAGCATTGAGGCTTACACAGCGCTACCCCGGAAGCTTGGCCACGCAGACGATCATGAACATGAAGGAGTCGCTTTTGACCCGGAGTGGAACGCTGTACTCCCAAGATCGCAAAGCATTACCCCCGATCTTTTCGCAGTACTACTTGGATGGGCGGGCCTTGTTGTAAGTAGATGCTGGACTTGCAAGTACATAGCAGACTTGCAAGTGAACTTAACATACTTAGTGGAAGAGGCGCATGTGAACTTAGCGGATGTGGCTAAGTACAACTTAGCGCTGGTTCTAAGTTACTTAGCTATGTCTGCTAAGTTGTCTATGTACTAAATTCATAGTGCTCGGACATTGCCTCAACACTGCTTGCAAACAAAGCATGCGCCGGCTCCGGCTACCAATTTACCATGCGCTGCCCAGTCAAGAGTTGACAGGGCCAATGCGTTTTCACAGCGCACGCGGACAGAATTGCAATCCACAAACGCTGTTCGCAGAGTTTTCTTGAGCCTCACGCTGTCTTATAACGTAATTTGGTTCCCATTGTGAGTTGTAATCCTGCGCGCTTCCACCAACCAAACATGTTCCCACTGCACGTTGAAAGACTTTAGCAGTGCGATAGTGTATTTTAACGGCGAAAATTAAGGTTCACCGATGACTATAAACTATCCTCACCACCCTCTTGCGAGGTAAATATATGCTGAGGATAGGCGTATAGAGGTATGTATGTACCAACAAACTCTGGCACTATAGAGACGCTATATAGACAACCGTGAAGAGTTTGTTTAAGTTCTACTACGTGCGTTTATCGGGGTTCCCTCCCTTCTCCCTCCCGGGCTTTGCTGAGCCCTCCGATGCGCAGAAGCGCTGCGTTGGCAGCCTGCGCCAGAGAGCGCAGGCAAGGGTTCAGTAGGAGCAGGTCGAAGGTGTAGGGATCAGGTGGGTTGTTTTGGGGGTTCATTCCCATGGTGGTAGAACTTCCAAAACATTCGATGCCGTAGAAACCCATGCAGAATGCAGGAGCACCGACGCACCCCAACCAAAAAATCAAGAGGCAGATTTAATCCGCTTGGACCTGACCATCACACCCCAAAGATGAAAAGGGCACACCCAGCTTTAATTGTTCAATACTGTTTTGGCTGAACAAAGTGTCCGAAAACTGTTTCTTGAACACCCCAAGAAATGGATAACTTGTAGGAACACACCCGTGTAACTTGGAAGTTTCCGCGACACTGGTGAATGTATATATATAGGTGCGGTTCTTGACTTGGCTTGGGTATACTACACCATTTTCCAAAAAGTTGGTCAGACCATGTTTGCAAACACACAAAGTATGCAGCACAGTGCTTGCCGACAAACAGAATCAACAGCTTCACACACGAGTTTTCATGTAGTAAAACCCTTTCTACATTCAATGGCTTCCCCGACTATCTTGCCAGCAGTGAATTTTCTTTCACGGTACGACGCTGACACGTTCAATGTCATCCTTCCTGTAAATGCAAGGCCTTTTAAGGCTGGACATTGGAATGAACTTAGGTGCGTCCCTCATCATGAACTGGTTGGGCGCAGACGCGCTTTCCCAGGGAGAGAAGCAAGTAACATAGCGCCCGGCCACATGAGCGTGGAACCAAATCTCTCCCACCGCTTCAACCGAATCAATGAGCGCCAAGGCAATGTCTGCTGCAGCAAAGGCAACAGGGCCAACAAACCCTTTCTTAGAAACTTCAACTGGCAGGTCAAACCTGTGCCCTAAGCCTGCAACAGATCTGACTTCATGAGACAAGCGTTCGGCGGCAATCGTTGAAGGACCCAAGGAGACACTTTCCGGCACAGCAAAGTCTTTCAAACTTTGGCATTGGTTGAGCAAGGTTTGCTGGAGCAATCCACGTTCGAAAGCTGTAGTGTTGTTGGCGTTCTGGTAGGCGTCTGCATATCTCTTGATGGATCGGTGTTTCCGTTCGTGTACCCAACACGAAAGCACCCTGTTTTGTTTACGCATAAACCGGGCCAAGTGGAGGCTGTAGTGGCATTTTGGCGTATAGCACCGTTTGCCATAAGCAAGTTGCCTACGCGTCAAATGACCAACAATGGCACGTTCCATTTCGGTGGGATCAACATCCTGGGTAGCCTTCATTCTTTGCAACAGGTCCAGCACCCGACAAAGGGCAAAGTAGGAATCAACTGCTAGTTGGACTGCAGGTGGAGCGGGGGCCCCGGGTGGGAAGATTTCCATGAGCAAGAATCTGAAAATGCTGTAAACGCAAAGGCCCTCGCTCGCAGAACATCTCAGTTCGCCTTCTACGTGTTTCTTCAAAAGATCTTGCCCTGTAATGCTTCTACTTTTCCACTGGCTTGGAAAAATAAATTTCTGGAGATATTCATGAGCGCCCTGAATTGTAATGAAACCAGCAGTTCTCAGGGATTCAACGAGCAGCCCACCCTCACTGTTCCAAATACCCGCAACAAAATAGCAATGCATCCAATCATACTGAGATGCGGTTATAGGCCCCCCAAGCACATTCTCCAGCAGCTCAGGGCACCATAAAGCGCCGGTGGGTTCATAGTTCAACCCCAAACTTTTCTCTTCCAGTTTGAATGCATCTTTTCCCAAGGTGCTGTGTTTGCTTGCCAAATACTGAGCATTGGCTAACAAACTGGCATCATCGTGGAACACTATCTTTGAGAGCTCTGTCTCTGTGTGGGGCACCAACTTCCCAGAGATGTCATGTTGCGCAACTTCCAATGAATCCATGGTCACATTGGCACAAAACACGCATGGTTTGAGACCGCTGGCACCTTTGAAGGACCACATCAATTTTAATGCAGCCTCGTCTGCTATGGTGAGGCCAACCTGTGCAAAAAACATGGTGGATGACCCAGACGCCTGATTCAAGGCGACACCGTGCTTCAGGGAAAAGGGGGGTTGGAAAAAAAGCATTGTCAAGAGCTTGAACAGCTGGGAACAACCCCCAACCATGGAGCTCACCTGGTCTGATCTCACGGCGCCCAGGTGCATCCACGCATCTTCTGCGTATATCGCACCCTCCAGCTCCAGAAGACTCCAGTAA